CCACCCAGACATCCCCGCTGCCCCGAGTTGGCGCTTCGAGGCCCCCCCCCCGTCCTCCGCCCCTGCAGGTGTTTAGCTCTCACTTCTGTAAATGCCCCATTAAACCTCCAACACTTTGTGTTTGCCCCCCATCATAATCAGTGACGACGCGGCGCCTCAACGTGTCAGATGTGACGCTCGTCATCACGGAGGCCGAGTGATGAGCAAACAGTGGAAATGATCACGCAACCAGGTTTGAAGGGAACAACCCGCGGTTCGGGGTTCCTCCTGTTGAACAGCAGCTCAGGGTCAACGTTGGCGTTTGAGAAGCAGCTTAGAGTGAAATGAGCTAAAGCCACGCGTTTAGCCGTCCGATACAGCAGGGGTCTCCAGCTACTGGCCCACGGGCCGATTCTGGTCCGTGGACCGTCACATGTGGCCCACAACTAAATGACAGTAACTGTAATTGTGTCGTGATTTATTGGACGGATGGACGGATGGATGAATGGATGGATGGACGGATGGACGGATGGACGGAGGGACGGATGGACGGATGGATGAATGGATGGATGGACGGATGGACGGATGGACGGATGGACGGATGGACGGATGGACGGAGGGACGGATGGACGGATGGATGGATGGACGGATGGACGGATGGACGGATGGACGGAGGGACGGATGGACGGATGGATGAATGGATGGATGGACGGATGGATGGATGGATGGATGGATGCTTAGACATTTAATTAACAGTTGTACCGTGTGGGTCACATGGGCCATATTTTTGACATCTGTGGAACAAATTAACTTGAAAAAAACAAATCTAAATTATGGGATGTTACAGTCGACTGTTTAATTCCAACGACTACATTTATTGGAAGAGATATTTGGTCCGAAATATTTTTTCTTTTTCAAACGTAAAGTACTGTGATATTTCAGTACAGGTTAGCTGCATCTTGAAGCTAGCGCCCCGAGATACGAATTTTCAAAGTTACGAGTCAGCAACATTCGCAAGATTTTCCTTGTGGTACGAGGAAACATTGAGTTACGAGTGACTCAACCGAGCTCCATTTTTTAACTCGACACGAGTAATTGTACCCATTTTTATAACAATAATATAAAATATTATCTTAATTATTATTATTTTATATGATCAATATATTTGTTTATATGTTCTTGATGTTTTGATTAAGGGGTTAAATTAATTCATTAATAGTACGAACTGATTAATTGCGAAAATACAATACCAAGATACCGATTAAACCGATTGAACCGGTATCTTAAAACCCTGAAACTGTTGATTAGAAAATAAAGAAAATAAACATTAACGTTGTGTGTTTTTTGTTTTTTCTTTCCCAAAATCAGTCGCCACGTTTGTATCAGTGGAGTTGAATCTGTCGACATCTGGATGGAAATGACCACGATTTCATGTGTATCTCTCTCTCGTCAGGTCAGGTCACAGGACGACGGCAGAGTCAGGCTGACGTTCTGTTTTTGACTGGAAATCCAAAATGTGACCTTCGCCCCGAGTTGATGATTAACTGTGGAATTAACAACACGTCTTTTTTCAGGAACATAATGTCGCGCAGGTCAAGGATCGTCCAGGCCTCTGTGTTCGCTCCAACTCTGACTGACTAACTAACTACACGCTAACACTGCAGTTCTGTGACGGCGCTGGTGGTGGCGCTAACATCCAACACCACCACCACCATGTTAATGTGCACATCAATAAATACAGATTATGAAAATGTTATATATTTGTGTCACGTGACCCTTTTTGACCGCATGAAAACTACCCGTGGGCCACAAATGGCCCTCGAGCCAGACTTTGGACTCGCTTAGTTTTTTTGTTCATTTCTGCATTAATCCACAGTCGGAAGGGAATTATTAATATTATTATTATTTTAATTCAGATTAATTTTGTATTTGTGTGTACCATGTACTGCAATATATTTAATATTATAATAATAAAAAATTTAAAAATACATATATATGCATAAAATATATACATGTAATATAAATATAAATATAATGATTGAATGGATAATTCATGAAGGCAGAGTGATTTAATATGAACAAATACGCATGTACTCTGATAGTACCACGTGTACATGTACACATGTAGAAAATATATTAGGAATATCATTTGATTTTTCTTAAATTAAAAAAAAAAAATTATATTTTTTTGGCCAGTGACTCTCATTCAGACCTGCACCGACACACACACACACACCGACACACACACACACGGAGCGAGCGTTTTCCTCATGATCTCATCTCAGAGTTAAGCAGAGACTGTGTTAGCTCCTCGTCAACACCACAGGTTTACTCGCCTTTACTAATGGGCCTCAGTACTGATAGTTATGCTGCTGCGTAAATATGCAGTCAAATAGATGTACAACCGCCGACACGTGGCTGGCATCGGAACCGACCCTCACCTTGATGTTTGCCTGAGTATCTGTGTGTGTGTGTGTGTGTGTGTGGTAATCACACACACACACACGGATTCGAACACATCTTATTACAAATCATCATCAAACCTTCATATAAACTGTCTGTCTGTATAAACGGCCGCGGAGTGAATTCATTCAGTATTTTTTTTTTACCATTAAATAAAATGGATTTAATATTAAAAAATATTAAAACAAAATTTTAAAACATATTTTCATCATTTCATTATTAAACTGTTTTAAATAATAATAAAAAAAAATGACTTGATTTTTTTTTATGCCGCCCTGATTTGGAGAGAATAGAGACCGAGAGAGGGCGCTCTGGAGCTGTGTCTTCCATATTCAACATTAATTAAAAAACATTTAGAAACTCAAATGTTTTCTTTTACATTTCAGTAAACGGCGAAAACAAGCGTTTGTGAGTTTCAAAAAGAAGAGAAAAATAAAATAAAATAAAAAATAATGGATATTTAAGGGATTTAAAAACATAATTTTAATTAGAATTTGCAAATTATATGTATATATATTTATTGCAATAAAACGTATTTTAAAAATAACTAAAATGAATCACAGTAATACTTGAGGAGAACAACAGAAAAGTAAAGATTATACTTTACTTTAAATAAAATCAATGATTTGACGTGAATCAGTGAATAATCTGCTTCAATAAAAGTATTATCGTGTTATCGTGACGACGGTGTTTTTTTGTTTTATCTACACTGATGTTGATGTTTGTAAAAAAACCGTGATATTTAAATTTCCTCTGTTGAAAAAGGACAAAACACCCCACATTTTGTTTAAAGAACAAACAAAAACAAAAATAAAGAACGCACTCCTTTTATGCACAATAAAAAAAAAAAAAAAAAAAAAAAACACGCATGAAAATGAAGCTTTTGACGTGAAACTGTCCTTTTCAGTCGGCGCAGGTGTACAATGGTGGGGCAGCAGGGGGGCGGTGCTGGTGCTGGTGGTGGTGCTGGTGGTGGTGCTGAGGGGTGGGCAGAGCCCGGCGGTGGTGGTGGTGGAGGGGGTGAAGCTTGAGGAGTCTCACATCTAGGTGCGAGGAGATTATTCAAATAGGGCCCAAGGCGTAGAAGTAGGATTGGAGGTTTGCCTGCCGCTCGCAGCTATAACACTGCGTTAACAGGCAGCTCGCCGCGTCATTCCCACTCCCGCTCACTGACTGACGCGTCTCAGTGGCTGCACAGCCGCTCCGGAACGCACGCCGCCGCCGCCACGACACATGCGCCAGTCCACTTTCTAAACGCCGGAGGGACACAGCGAGCACCCAAACACACTCGCAGCCTCTCTCTCTCCCTCTTTCTCTCTTTTTCTCTCTCTCTTTCTCCCCCCCCAAAGAGTCACCGCTGCCGGGGAGACTTTTGGCTTTTCCTCTGCTGGGAGACGCTCGGTAGTGAAGTCCTCCATGATGCTTGGAGCAGTTAAAATGGAAGGACACGAACACACCGACTGGAGCGCCTACTACGGAGAGCCTGAGGTGGGTACCTTAAATATATATAGATAGATATATTTATATATATATTTATATATTTATATATATATTTCTCACCCCCCCCCACCTCCCGGGGCGCTCAGCGTCTAAATCCGATCCCGTTTTATACTCAATTACCTCAATATTAGCCTTGAGATAATATTAACTTTGTGATCAAATATTGACTTGAGGCGCCTCCAAATCCTCCCCCATCTCCCCGCTCTCTCTCCCAACAAACTTTCTCGACATGTCGAGTGGAAGGAACGCAGGACTTTTCACCCGGATTAGAAAATCCGTCGCGCACGTTTTAAAATTTATTTTTATTATTATTATTAATTGTTATTATTGTTGTATTTTCAGTGGTGGTGGTGAGGGGGCGCAGTTTTAAACCACACAAACATTTTTAATCTGTTTGAGTTTTTTTTTTGTGTGTGCTGTGTTTGGCTTCAATATTTGTCTTTCAGCTGCAGGTGTGGGAGTCAACACTTTAGTCGACGTTAAATTTACCTGTTTTTTTTTCTTCTTCAAAACAAATATATTAGTCGAATATGTTTAATATTGATTCGAACGCTATTTCAAACAAAATCAGTTTTTTTTTAAATAAAAGTTTCCCCGCCACCGGAAACACTACTAGATTATTCCTATTATTAATTAATTAATAAATATTATTATTATTATAAATCCAGTTAAATATATATATATTTGTTTTCATATTTAATGACCCGTTTTTTCTCTCCCTCCTCCTCTGACAGTGTTACACCTCTGTGGGGAACATGAACACGGGCCTGGGAATGAACACCATGAACACCTACATGAGCATGTCCGGGATGAGCACCACGGCCAACATGACGGCCAACTCCATGAACATGTCCTACGTCAACACGGGCATGAGCCCCTCCATGACGGGCATGTCCCCGGGCGCCGGGGCCATGAACGGCATGGGAGCCGGCATGACGGCCATGAGCGCCGCCCTGAGCCCCAGCATGAGCCCCATGACGGCGCAGCCCGCGTCCATGAACGCCCTCGGCTCCTACAACACCATGAACGCCATGAGCCCCATCTACGGACAGTCGAACATCAACAGGTCCAGAGACCCCAAGACCTACCGCCGGAGCTACACGCACGCCAAGCCGCCCTACTCGTACATTTCCCTCATCACCATGGCCATCCAGCAGTCTCCCAGCAAGATGCTGACCCTGGCCGAGATCTACCAGTGGATCATGGACCTCTTCCCTTTTTACCGACAGAACCAGCAGCGCTGGCAGAACTCCATCCGCCACTCGCTCTCCTTCAATGACTGTTTCGTCAAGGTGCCGCGCTCGCCGGATAAACCGGGCAAAGGCTCGTTCTGGGCGCTGCACCCGGACTCCGGGAACATGTTCGAGAACGGCTGCTACCTGCGGCGACAGAAGCGCTTCAAGTGCGACAAGAAGATGACCAAGGACGGAGGGCGCAAGGGCGGAGGCGGAGACGGCGTCTCCTCCAACAGCAGCTCGGAGAGCTGCAACGGCAACGAGTCCCCGCACTCCAACTCCTCCTCCGGCGACCACAAACGCTCCCTGTCGGACATGAAGCCGAGCCAGGCGCTGAGCCCCGAGCACGCCGCCCCCTCCCCGGTGTCTCAGGGCCAGCACCCGCTCATGGCGCAGCACCACTCGGTGCTGGCGCACGACGCGCACCTGAAGCCCGAGCACCACTACTCCTTCAACCACCCGTTCTCCATCAACAACCTCATGTCGTCGGAGCAGCAGCATCACAAAATGGACCTAAAGACTTACGAGCAGGTGATGCATTACTCCGGCTACGGCTCCCCGATGGCGGGAGCCTTTTCCATGGGCTCCATGGCGGGGAAAGCCGCCCTGGATTCCTCCTCCATACCGGACTCTTCCTACTACCAAGGCGTGTACTCCAGGCCGATCATGAACTCCTCATAAACTCCCCAGCCCGTGTAGACTCCCTTTCTTTCAATTTGTACATTTGTATAAAACCCCCCCAACCCCCCCCGGGAAATATAGAGTTTGTGTACAATATGTATTTCAGATATTTCTTTTTTTCTTTTTCTTTTTTTTTTGGATGTTTCCCACCGTTTTAGTTGTCGAGTTTCTTAGTAGCCTAATTATTTTTGACAAAGGATGTTGATGATGATGATGATGATGAGGATGACGGTGATATTAATAATAATAATAATAATAATGAGAATAATTCAAACATGTTAATGATAATGTGACGACTTCAGGAATGGACCCAAACAAACAAACAAACAAACAAAAACAAACAAACAAAAACAAACAACGACCTGCTGTAAAAATGACCTCCATGCATTAATTTTTTGGAAACGACGTGAAATAAAACGACGCCTCACAGGATTTCTGTCGATCATCTGTGTAATTCCTATTTATGGCCTGTATATGTGTATTCTTGTAGTGACAAGAACAGAATCTATATTAAAGTGTCAATGGTTTTGTTTCCTGAACATCAGTCTGGGACCCTGCATTATTATTATTATTATTATTATTATTATTATTATTATTATTGCTAATTCCACAGCCTATTTAAAAATAAATAAAAAAACAAAATGAATAAATACTTAAATATTGATCGCAAAAATTTCATAAAATGTCAGAAAATCCTTTATACTATTATTATTATTATTAATATTGTTATTATTATTTGGTGTTTCCTCCATTATATTAAAACACTGAAGCACAAAAACAACACAAAACACAACTAACACGTTAGTCATTTTCTCCCACGTCCACGCGCCGTTTTGACAGGACGCACATTTTCTACCGGGATTAATAGATTTGTGGGACAACAGTGAACACAGTGATCTCCGTTTGTCATTGACAACATGTCAACAACAGCAACGTGACGTCATTAATCCCAAACATATATCTGGATGTTTACAATAAAGACTGGGGGAAAAAAAATAAAATAATAAAAAAAAAACAAAAAAACAAACAAACACGGAAGTCGCTTTGGGAAATAAATAAATAAATAAATGGAATCTCATCATAATAAAAAAACATGATGATCACACACTGTGGTTCCGTTCACACCGGACTCTGGTCATAAATCACATTATTACAGAAATGTTACCATTTAAACGACACTAACGCACATAAAATACAGTAAATAATTGACGCTGACACACACTCACACACTCTCTCACACACACTCCTTCACACACACACACACAGTTCAGATCGGTGGCTAAGATTAAGTGTCATTGTCACGTGGCCCGGACTCCCGTGGAGCGGCAGAATGGCCGCCGCGGTGAGGAGCTGATCTGAGAACAGTGGCTGCTCTGACTTCTCTGCCCACAATCTGGGGCTCCCATTGTCTGGACCCCATTTTAAAAACTAGTCGGACCCTCCCCTCTTGTTAGATAAGATAGGCCGCTTGTCCTCCAGATGAATCCACATACCGCCCCCCCCTCCCTCCTC